CATGCACATTATTCACATTAACTGCACTCTTTAAATCTAGTTCCAATAACACCGCCGTGAAGCCAATATAAGTCAATATCAAGAGCAAACACAAGACCCTCTCTTGCTGCCAAACGAGAACAAGATAAATTTATAAAAACAACCACTAATTAAAATGAAAAATTAAATTCGAATTTGAAACGTGGGAGATCATAAATTTCTAACGTGGAGATTAATTTCCAAACATTACCAATAAGCAAAAAATATCCCCCTAAAAAAGAGGCCACATAAAAAAAAACATTTAAAAAGGACATTTGGAAATCAATAATTAGAATTTTAGCTTCAAAAATTATAATAATAATACTATCTAATTTAAATTAAAAAAATATGTTGACATGGCTTTTTGGTAAAGTGTCTTAATCAAATATTAAAAAAAAAAAAACAAATGTTCGATCTAATTAAAAAATTTACGAGATTCTAATTGTTCCATTTTTTAATCCCTCGTTGTCCTCGCGGCTTGTGACTTGCGAGGATGAGATTGAGAGGAGACTCGGATTCATTTTTGGTCAATCGAATCAAGCCATGCCAGATAGAAAATATAACAAAATAAGCAACTGAACTTGGTGACAGATATTTCCCACGCGGAGCCATGTTATACATTGGAATGTACTATTATCAAATCTCTAATATGCAGTTTTGTCTGTGGCGATAATCATAACAGTTGACCTTATTTTTTCTTTTTCATTTTTCTTTCAAATAAAATAAATTTTTAGTGACGGTATAATTAACTAGAACAGTCGCTAAAGATAGCTTGTTTAGTAACAAAAAATTGTTTGAAGGCCTTCACCAAAAAGTTTTAGTAACCATTTTACATTTTATACCTAGGTGCGTATACATGCCATTCCAACCGAAAGGACAAAACATAGCCCTGTCCAAAATTATAGGTTTGCAAAAAATTATTTTTAATGAATAGTGTTAGGCCGTACTCATATGTCATCTCCAACCGAATGGGCTAAATATAGCCCCTCAATAACTTATGAGTTTTAAGTTTATACTCCAATAAATTTACATAAATTACTGTTGAATGTTTTCAAATCTAGTCATTGAATTTGAATCAATTATTGCAATTGAGGGGCTAGCCTCCAAAAAAGTGTGACGATCCGTCCCAATTTTAATTATAATTTTCTCCACGAGTAAGTAAAATGACGAATATGCCCTCGTTGGCTTAGTGACGTGGATGTACATGTAGTTTTAAATTATTTTTCTCATTATCGTAATTAAATCATACTCGACGTCACGAGAGTGTTGGCGCAAGTTAGACCCGGATTGCAGTCGTAACGAAAAAGTTATGAATGATTAAGCACGTAAACGGGTAAAATAAGGAACCAATTATATTAGTTCCTAGTTAATAGAAACCAATCAGATTTTTTTTGGGCTTTTATTTCTTTTGGACCACTTAAAAATCATCTTTCCCTTCTTCTACCTAATCAGAAACCCACGCGCACACACACACACCTATACACTCTCTCTCCTCTTCTCGATCCTTCCTCTTTCTTCTTCTTCGTACACCCGAGCCACCATCACTGTTCAAACACACCCAAATCCCCATGGATCGAACTGGAAATCACCACATTTGTGCTTGTCTTAACTTCACGAACCTAACCATACCTTTTGATCGTCAAACAGACGAGGGTAGCTCGGAATGTCAGAAGCTCCGACGAGGAGCAAGTTTTTCTGACATGATTCCAGTGAGGTTGTGAAGTTTTAGGATTTGGAAAAGTCCCCATGCAACTTCCCTAGAACTTTGGAGCAAGTTTGGAGTTGTGTTGACGTTGGAATACATGGTTTCAAGGAACCTCAGTTTTGGCCGGATTTTCCAAGGTTTCCGACCGTTTTCTGTTTGGTTTTGGACTTCTAATAGGTACGAACATGTTCTACTCTTCAAGAGCTTTAAATCCATATAAATTTCATGGATTTTGGTTAAGAAATGAAGTAGATATAAGCATTTGAAAATTTTCCAGAAACCGGTGATATTTTCCAGTTTTCGGCAAGTTCAGACGGCGACTCTGGTGGTGGCAGACAACGACGACCAGCGAGGTCCACCGGAGAAGAAGGAGAATATTCCGTCAAAGTTGACAAAATAATCTAACGGCGTTAGGTACCGTTAGTTATATTTAACAGAATATTCCGTCAAATTGATAGAATATTCCTGACTGCGTTGGTCACACGGACAGCACGTGCTTGCGCATGGCCGGCGCATGTGGCCCTGCTTTGGCCGGCGCGTGAAGGTGCGTTCGTTTCATCGAGTAGATCACGTTGGTATATTCAAACACCCCATTTGAGCAAGATATGAGAAGTTATTCCTAGAGTTTGTGTATGTGTTAGTTAATTATCGTAAAATTAGTTATTTCGCATATAGGTGAGACGTATCCCGAGGACGAGCGTGGACAAGCGAGCCTAGGGGGCTACAATCCTGCTACTTATCAGTGAGTGGGCATTTGATTTCTATATATTTATATAAATTATTGTTCCCAGAAACATTTTAAAAATGATTTGTGCTTTGAATGCCATGTCTTGAATGAATTACATTATATATATATATATATATATATATATATATTGCATTGTTATAATTTATAAATTATATTGAATGATGCTGCGGAGGCTCAGGTAAGCTTCAAGTGAGTTAGTGTGTGAGTGTATTAGTTGCATTGCATATTCATGTGCATAAATGCATTTAGAGCTCATCATTATTGTACCCCGATGTTAGCGCTCCCGCCCGAGGCCAGGGCACAATCCTTCATGTGATGTTCACCTCCCGCACCGCACGCTTACCTTGGATCCAAATTTGGTGCCAGCCTGTCGTACAGACCACAATAGGTGATTCCGACTCGTAGATGACCCGCGATTTATTGCATAGCCTTCACATGATCGTAGCACTTGAGCGTACTTATTTAGACTCAGTTTTGTCGTACAGGTCACATTAGGTGGCTCCGACTCGTGTGCAGGCATACGTTGATTAGCTATAGGTCTAGTCGTATAGGTCACGTTAGGTGACTCCGACTGGCATATTATTTTATATTGACTTCACACCTGGCTTACATCTTTTAGTGCTGAATATTATGACATGGCATACTTTTGTGTTCACTACCCTTGAGCATGGTTTTTATATACGTACGTAGTATTATTTCTGGGAACTACACGGGTTTTACGGAAATGGGTTATTATGTTTAGAATGATAAATATGTTTTCAAAATTTTTCTTTTTGCCCAATTACCCTTCTGTTTTGCGCCCCTCTAGGTTCTAGCTAGTTGTATTTCTTGGTGGTTCACGAGGGCTACCCGGCAGTTCTAACATTGTTCTGAATAAATGTAGGGATCTTCTCCCTATTCTGTATAATTAGTACTTTATCCGTTTGATTGCACCGTTGATACCTATGCTCTGAATACTTGTATTTGGTTTTGATCAATTTCACACACTTATTTCCAGTTTAAATAAATTTTAGTTTCGTTTTTTTTTTATTTACTCACGTTTTCTCATAATTAACACTTTTGTTGCGCACTTGGCTACGTCACCCTCATGTGACGGCTAGCACGCCTCGACTTTGGTCGGGGTGTGTCAAAAAGGCTGAGAGGGGGGCTATATTTGGTCAACCTGATGCTCATTTCACCAAATAATGGTTTGGTAGGTTCCATAGAATTAGAGCACAACCATCAATTGAAGATAGGTTTGGTAATTTCTTACACGACATGTTTATACGATACGTAAACGACACGAAAATAACAGATTTCGGATCAGCACGATAACTAATCGGATCATTATTGGGTCACATGATAAGAACCCGTTAATAAAGGAACCTTAACAAGTTTACGCGAGAGTGACATGCAGATAACTTGTTTTAACCCGATAAGGAAAAAGTTATTTGATGATTTTAATTTTTTAAACTACTAAAAAAACTTACTATAAAATACAATATATATATATATATATAATGGATATGTATATATTGTTTATTAATTATTATTCTATTATTATTCCATATAAATTTTAAAAATTTAAGTTTTATTTATTTATTTATTTTTATAGTATACTATAGGCAAAGAGTGAGATTAAAAAATTATAAAACACATTAAAATAAAATATCAAGTAATTTAAAAATACCAAAAACATTAAAAAATTAATAATAATTAATTTACTAGTGCAAAAAATGTGAAAAAATATGCAACCGCTTGTATTTACATCCTCTACGTTTTGAGGATGGGTACATTATTGCTTAAATTTTTAAAACCATACAAATTCTCATGAATAGTATTTTTAAGCGAGTTCAAAATAAATAAAATTCATAATCATTAATGTATAAGTTTGAAAAATGTGAAAACATACATAAACACTTGTAATTGCATCCTCTATGCTTAGACAATAGTTACATAGTCGTTTAAATTTTTAAAACCCTCCAAATCTCATGAATATGTTTTTTATTTGAGTGCAAAATTAATGAAATTAATAATAATTATTGTAGAAGTGTGAAAAATGAAAAAAAAAAAATATATATATATATATATATATATATATATATATAATGACTCCTAATGACAACTTTACAACTTTTGTAAAGGGGTCAACTCCGAAATTTAGTATGTATATACTAATTTAGGATTATGTTTTACATTTTTTTGGGCCAAATTATGTTTTTCATTTTTCGTTATTTATTGATTTAAAATATGTTTTTCTTAATGGGTAACGAGTCGGGTCATATTACCTAATAATATTAACAGGTCGATTTTGGGTTGAGTCATATTACCCGTTTACTTTAACGAGTGTTACACAACACAACCCATAAAGCTATCAGGTATAACACGAAAACGACACAAACAAGTGAAACACGACACAAATGCCAGGTCTAGTTGAAGATGAATTTTTGGACGAATCAGGTTATTCTTTGACTTTTGAACTTTCAGCCCTAGACAGGCTTACCCACTTCTTTTCCAGTCAGACATACATGTATATAAAGGGAAGGGAGTCACCAGTATTATTTCTGCGATCTGAAATTAACCACAGAGTAGTCATAACAATGTGGGATGTGGTGGGATTAAGTTTTGTAGCTTTGCTAGTCATATACTTAACTTACTTGATTACCCAATGGAAGAATCCAAAATGCAATGGGGTTCTCCCTCCAGGTTCTATGGGACTGCCTCTTATTGGAGAGACTCTCAATTTACTTATTCCCAGCTACTCCCTTGATCTTCATCCATTCATTAGGAAGAGACTCGAAAGGTAAATAAAGTTTGCCTACACAATTGACAACAAGCTCACTTCTGTTTTCCTTAACTATTTCTTTTCCTTGCAGATATGGACCCATATTTCGGACTAGTTTGGCAGGCAAGCCAGTTCTAGTATCAGCCGATCCAGAGTTCAATAATTATGTACTTAAGCAAGAAGGGAGGATGGTTGAATTTTGGTACTTGGACACATTTTCTAAGATCTTTATGCAGGAAGGAGGGAACAGGACGAATCAGATTGGTGTCATTCACAAATACGCAAGGAGCATTTTCCTGAATCACTTTGGCGCTGAATGCATTAAGGAAAAGTTGCTCACCCAGATAGAAGGAAGTATCAACAAACATTTATGTGCCTGGTCAAATCAGGAATCTGTTGAAGTGAAAAAGGCTGGCTCCATTGTAAATTTCAAGCCATCTTAGTATCTTCTTTATTAATGCTTGTTTCTGCTGGTCTACTTGTAATTGACACAGTACTTTTGATGTCGCCATTGTAGATGGCTTTAAATTTTTGTGCAGAACATATGATCGGTTATGATGCCGAAACAGCAACAGAAAACCTGGGTGAGATTTATCATAGAGTCTTCCAAGGTCTTATTTCCTTTCCCTTGAATGTTCCTGGAACAGCTTACCATAATTGCTTAAAGGTACTAATCAAAATGGTTATTTTCGTTCTAGAAAAGGCAAAATTTGTTACATTTTAATTCAATGAGATATCACATAAAAGTCAAAGTTTTGGTATTTATTCAGATCCACAAGAAGGCGACAACCATGTTGAGGGCTATGCTAAGGGAGAGACGCAGCTCACCTGAGAAGCGTCGAGGAGATTTCCTTGACCAAATCATCGACGACTTGGATCAAGAGAAGTTCTTGTCAGAGGACTTCTGTGTACACTTGATATTCGGGGGCTTGTTTGCTATCTTTGAGTCTATTTCAACAGTATTGACATTATTTTTCAGTTTACTTGCAGACCATCCTGCGGTTCTACAAGAGTTGACGGTATGTATACTAACTTTGTGCATCAATAGAATCTTCCGAACTCCTCTATGTCGGACTATAATAAATTATCATCAGGCTGAGCATGAGGCACTTCTCAAAAATCGAGAAGACCAAAATTCTGCACTTACATGGGATGAATATAAATCGATGACTTTTACCCTTCAAGTTAGTTCTTTGAGCTCAACATGGTTTGTTCTACCTTGAACAGTTGTATATATAGGAAAGTGTTATAACTTGCTGGACTTTGGAAACTACAGGTTATCAACGAAACTCTTAGGCTGGCTAATACTGCTCCAGGCTTGCTTCGTAGAGCATTGAAAGATATCCCAGTAAAGGGTAAGTCCTCAGTTTCAAATTGGTTTGGCCCTTAGTTAATTCAAACTTAAAAATAGTTGTTTAGTTGATCAATAAAATGTTTGTACGTAAATGCTTTGAAGGATATACGATACCAGCTGGCTGGACGATTTTGCTTGTCACCCCTGCTCTGCATTTAACTTCCAACACGTTCAAAGATCACTTGGAGTTCAATCCATGGCGTTGGAAGGTATGCATACCTGTCTTTGAAACTTGAGTATATCGTTGCCATTTTTTTCAAATAACTTCAATTTTTGGTAGAATCTGATTGCAATCACAAAACTATCTCACAGCTAACTTTGTTTATGCATGTTTATGTTTTGTATGGGATTAGGACCTTGACTCCCTTGTAATATCTAAGAACTTCATGCCGTTTGGTAGTGGATTAAGGCAATGTGCAGGGGCCGAGTTCAGCAGAGCGTACTTGTCCACCTTTCTCCATGTTTTGGTCACCAAATATAGGTATATATCACCACTCCCCTCTTATTTTAATCTCAGCATCTCACCGGAAGTAGCAATTCTAGTTTGTGCCTACATGGTTTTTGGCAGAGCTAAAACATCTTTTCAATTTCTGCTGTACATAGGTGGACAACAATCAAAGGCGCACGCATTTCTCGAAGGCCTATATTGGCATTCGGGGATGGCGCTCACATTAAGTTCTCGGAGAAGAAAAACTGAGATATTTTCCTAATTCAGTTTGTGGAAAATGATCAAACACTTGTCTTGATGTACCTATTTATGATTAAAACAGGATGTGCAATATAATATGTTATAGATGAAGCATGAATAAAGCCGAAATGATGTAAAATCTGAATTATTGTAGTTGGAATAACTTAGGGCTTGCCCCAAGTGGCTGATGTGCACTTGCTAAAGCGCCAGCTCTCCAGTTATCGATTATACTTGGATGTCAAAATTTATAAAGGTTTTATTAAATAATAATTAATAAAGTTTTTTATTTTTTTTCCTTATTATCATAAATGACTGTTTGTATTATTTTTCTTTTTTTTGGGGCCTCGGACGTCCACATTTCTAGCTTATGAAAGAAATTCAAGTTGCGCTTGTTGTACCGAATTGAACTAGTTTTAGAGACTAAGCTGAACTAGCTTATGATAGACTAAGATGTACTAATTAACTTAGTAAAGTGTTTGGTATAGGATCAGACTAAAAAACAGGATAATAAAAATAATAAAAATTAATTCCCTTTTTATTTTTTTGTTTTCTTTTCCATTTTCTAGAATAATCTGTCTTCCTAATTTTGGTCAAACTATCTCCTTCTTCCTCTTCCTGTCTCTTCCCTTTTCCTTATCCCGTCCAACTCCCTTTCCCCCTCTCCCTACGCTTCCTCTCACACCTTCATAATCTACTGCAAATCTTCAAAATCAAACCACAAAGTAAGAAATAGAGTGAAAATTTAGGAGTTGGGGGTGGGGTGCATTTGTGATTGGCTCGAAGACACTTATTACTATGGTTTAGTAGTATTCTTCTTCACTTGTAAGTGAGAGGTCTCAGGTTCGATTCTCGTTAAATGTGAAGTTGAACTACATTATTCTGGTAGACCTGTTGTGAGGCTTAGCCACTTCCCATCCCCTTAGTTCAGATACTAGATCGTTTGATAAAAAAAAAATTAATTAATTAGCCTATAACAAATTATATTTTGAAGACAATTAGAAGCTTGAATCAAATGATAAATCTAATAACTTTGTGCCGCAATTTCTTCATGTATTGGTCACCAGACCCTACACCAAGGTAGGAGTACACATTACTCGAAATATTGATTTTAGGGCTTGGAGATGGAATTCACAGTAAGTTAGTGTTGAACCTCAAAACTACCAAGCTTCCTTTGGTTGAGTGCAAGCATGCTAACTCGACGACCGAGCTCGAGCTGTGAGTAGAATGAATGTGGTGATGGGGGGAATGTGTTGCTGACTTCTGTTATCCGAGCGATCACAGCCGAAGAAGAAACTCGTCTCTGCCTCAGGGTTTTAGAGCTTGAAGACAAAGTTGTTAGTTACTGCGAAGTTCAGGATCGTCTGCACCGGGTTCAGCTTCTTCAATTATATTCGAGAAAAATATGTGTGCCGAATCAAGATTAAACTGTAAGGACACAAATACTCGAAAGAAATGAGTGTCTTGACTATGAATGTGGTTCGACCGTCGAAATGCCTAACTCTAAAGTGTACTTGAGAATATCCAACCATAAAATAGGTTCAGCTTTCAATGTGCCAAACACTGTAACCTGGTAACAGCTCAACTCATCGAGAGGTTAATGAGATGACCTTTTCCAACAAGGACTCGAAGACTTGTTGACAGAGACTTGAATAGATAGTTGCAAACTCAAAGCGGTGTTATTCCAAATTGAAGGTGCTAATGCTTCGCTCAATTTGAACGAAGAGTCGTCCACAGAGCCCAAGAATTATGATAATTGCTGAAGGAAGCTGAGTGAGAATTGTACCCTAGTTGTGAAGATTTTCTCGTCCTAACAGCCGTTGTAAAGTTGATGCACATGAAAGTAGGTGTAATATGACCAATTGAAACTACAATATGATGATTGGGATTTTTAAACGTATGTTTCCAAAACCAAATGCATTGTTTGCAAACCATTTTGGATCGAAAAAGATCTCGGATTAGGATATGACAATATCCATGCATACACAAATAACTGGGTATTGTTTTATCGTGAATTCGAGAAGTTATATAATGTCCAAGTATAATGAGCCGAGATATCGAAAGAACAAGATTCCAAATAAGGTGTTGCGTTATTTTCCCCTTACACCAAGATAACATAGATTGTACATGTCGACCCATAATGCATGTATTAGCATAAGGAGGAACGGGTTGGTGACGATGCATTGTGGCATCCAGCTAATGGCGAAGCATGGAAATGATTTGATAAAATCTATTCCGATTTTGTGGTAGAGCTAAGAAATGTCAGACTAGGACTTGCTTCTGACAACTTCAATATGTTTGGGAATTTTTCCAATGAGCACAACACTTGGTTGGTAGTCTTATAACTTGCCCCTACAGGTGCATGAAGAAAGAATTTATGATCACCATGCGATTCCATTGATGTTTATTTGCAAGCATTGATTGATGAGTTGATAGATTTATGGGCAAATGGTGTGCGAACATATATACAACAGGTCTATAAGGAAAATGTTCACTCTAAGAGTCATGGTTATGTGGACAATTAATGATTTCTCAGCTTATGGTATATTGTCAAGCTGGAGCACCAAAAGGTATATGGCATGCCTAACATAAGGCGATGACTCATCGCTTTTTTGTACGCTGGAAGGATATGCTACTTGGGTTATCGAAGATGGCTTCCCTAGGATCACGAGTGGTAAGACAAGCCTGAAACATTTGATGGGACAACAAAGTATCGAACTAGACCAAGAGAATTATCTAAAGATGAGATTTTGGCCAAGTTGAATATGCTCCAATTTGAGGAAGGCTCGAGACTAGTGCAACAATTGAATTTGACAAAAAAGTATATTCTTTGACTTGGAATACTAATCGAAATTAAAGATTAGACACATTGTTGATCCCGTGCGTATTGAGAGGAATGTATGTGACAAAGTGGTGGGAACGACATTAACGATAACTAAGGATAACTAAGGAGTTCTTTTGTAGCCATACAACTTTCCTTAACGATAACTAAGTCAAAAGATAATATTTTTAAAATACAGCTCTACTAGGTAATAAGTTCTTTACAGTAATAAAATAAATTCTATTTTGGAGCAATGAGTGAAGTCTGACGACTTCGTCGAGATTAAATATGCTTGTTCCGCAAGATACAGGAACCTGTTCTAGTAAGGAATCAACCAGGTTTCCTATATTCTTGGAGTTTCTACAATCTAGAGATTGGCATTTGCCACAAGTAATCTAACTCCTAAGGGGATGCAATATCTACTCCTATTATCCTCTGGGATTCTCCTAGGTTAATACAAATTCCATATCCTAAAAAAATTCTATCTCTAGTGATATAAATACGTCATTCTAGGGTTCATCTCTAGTAACGCAGTTATCGTACACTTACTCTCTTGATTATTGCTTAAGCCTCATATATTTGTTTACTAACTTGACCGTCGAAGAGCCTTTGGCTGGTACCACCCCAGTCATTGGCTCTTACAATTGTTTGTTGTTTTACAAATAAACGAGTTTGTGCATCTCTATCTTTCGCCGCGGTCCGCAACTTTGGTTCCAACAAATGCTACCTAGAGACACTTAATTTGCCAGCTGGCAAGAAGCCTATGGGATGTAAGTGGGTCTATAAGGTGAAGTACAAAGCCGATGGTAAAGTGGATAGATTTAAAGCCAGACTAGTAGGAAACGATACACTAAGAAATATGGAGTTGATTATATGGCTTCCTTTGTGCCGGTAGCTAAGTTAAACATAGTTCAGCTATTTTTTATGTGAAGAATGTGTTTTTGCGTGGAGAACTTAGAGAAGATGTTTATATGGATCTCCTGCCTAGGTGTAATATTTTGTAGAGTACAGTCGAAAAGTGTGCCAACTTAAGAAATCCTTGTATGGATTGGAGCAATCTCTGCGAACATGGTTTGGCAGGATTAAAAAGTCCTTGAGGGAGTTCGGTTACAAGCAAAGAAATTGTGTATGTCGATGATATGGTTGTGATGGTAAATGATCCAGATGAACAAAAGTTGTTACATAGTTAATTGCCCAAAGAATTCAAGATGAAGGACCTTGGTCCTCTAAAATACATTCTTGGAATCGAAGTGTCCCAAAAAACCGAACCCAAAAAAAGGGAACTGAAAGCACGAAAAAAAAAATACACGAACCGAACCTAACCGAAATGAGTTTGTTCAATTTCGGTCCATGGTTCGAAAACCAAACCAAGCCGAAGTTACTAAAAAATCGATGTCATTTTTTACCATACGCTTAGTATGATGCCGTTTCGTTCGTGTATGATCTTACTGCAAGTACGATCGAGGTTTTCTTCACCGTTTTTCCTTTCCTTCTTCGCTTTGCTTCTAATTCTCTTTTCTCTCTGTTTGCCAGTGAGCATACTGCACCCTGTGAAAAGACTGCAATTAATACACGAATGCACTGCTCTTTGTGTCCAGTAAAACTTCTTAATCATCAACTTTGCCTTTCCGTTAATGACGAAACGAAACCTACATTAAGCATTGTTTTAGGCCATTCTCTATTTCCAATTAGCAAATTCCTTTCCTTTTCCACAAACAATTCAAGCTAATTGACTTTCCCTCAACACTTGGACGCTTGGGACTATTTCTTTTATGCCATAAATAATTCAAGGTCATTGAATTTTTTTTTAATTGTGGAAAATTTTATTTCAGAAAAAAAAAATCAAACCGAATTTGAAAAAAATGAACCGAACAGTAATTTTGGTTTGATTTTCTATTTTAGCAGAAAACCTAACCCGCACCCAGATGTCATTTTCCTATGTAGATCGATTGTATAAAACTTGATTTTAAACACGTTCTTATATACATTTGACATTTGAGGTCGTTTATAAAATTCATGAACATATTCAACACATCCCCCAAGTCTTGTTACTATATATAAAAATGGTAATATGAAGTGGTTGGTCACCCAACTTTGTTATTTATATTTGAGGAATATTAATAGGAGGAGGAAGACATGAATATATATATATATATATATATATATATATTATCAATTCATTAATATATATACATTAATAGAAGTAATCTACATCAAAATTTATGTATTTATAAAATTCATGAAACTTCATATACAATACATCCCCGCAAGTTTAATTAATTTGTTAATCTCTACGTAATTATATTCGTACGTTTGATTTGCCTTTAGGTGCCAAAAGATGGTTAGGAACTTAGGGGTATAGCCTAAAGCATGTGGGCAAGACATATGCAATGGGGTTCCCATTTTTTGAAAAAAAAAATGAAGATTAGGTGTGGGGTCCACACCACATCGAATTTCAACGATCTGAATCGTCTATTTAGTAAGTCACGATTCATAGATCATCCTTGCAAAAATTCAACTCAATCCGAAACCATATGCCTATTTAATTATCAAGATCAAATTTCATTGTTTCTTGTATAACAAAGTATTCGTTCATTTCTTTGAACCCAATTAAATGTCTTAAATATTTCTGATTTGGTTAATATTTTGCAAGGATGATCTATGAGGTATAACTGAAAAACTAGACAGTTCGGATTGTTAAAGTTCGATATGGTGTGGACCCCACAACTAATTCCCATTTTTATTATAAAAAAAAAATGAAGATCCTTTTCCTTAAAAGCTTCCTCTATATATATCGGATTCTATTCGTAGAAACTGAAGCATGCAACGACTGATCAGACACTTGTATCTAATTCTAAATGGGAAAGGCGGCTGAACAAGATGCAGACCGCTAAAGAAAAGAATTTTACGAGTTCTCAGATTTTCCATGGAAGAATTGCACAGCTAGATGTAATTGGATTGTCCGAGAGTATTTCGAACTTGTACACCTCCGAGATGAGATGCAGATGGCTAGCTGAGCTTCTCGGAGGCACATTTAAGCTGCCATGCATAAAAGAGATGGAGAAACATGTGGAAAAATGGGACGCATACGCGATATTACCAAAGATCATGCATGGGCGCCCTCCATCGATGTCCTTTTGTTTAGCTAGCAACTTCAGCACCATCTCTATCTACCAAATCAACAACTACCAATAAAGAAAGCTTAAGCAACAAAAATTGAATTTGATGTTACTCGAAAAAGCACAGCTTCCTACGCAGCCTCCGGTGGCTGGAGCGCCCAACGCCATGCTGTTGTCGAAGTGGTGGGGATTTGGGAGGATCGACAAAGGAAGGAGTGTGAATTTTATAGTCAAGGACAAGAGAGATGTATCCAAGAACTAGAAGCTACATTGTTTCCAGGAGAAGAATCATGTCCTCATGAAGACGACAAGAATATATACTAAGTAACGTTCAGGTTCTTTTTTCGTACCCCAAAATTATCAATGAATATAATAAAACCGTGTAATCATCTGATACAAATACTGATCCAAATGCGCAATTTGTAGCTGAAACCTCTCTTCGGCTTGTGGGAAATACTAGGTCTGTGATGTGATTCAATCAAATTGATTTTGCCAATCTCAAGTGGCCAGCTGAAAAAAAAAGTGGATTATGCAGTTTTAGGCACATTCTAATAGCTGGAAACATGTCCATAGTTTCATATCAAATCCCACCTCTAAATTTTAAATAAGATTTTCAAGGGAAGAAAACATGAGGCTTCATCGGCATATTCCAGCTAGTCCTTCAAGAGCCAGAGAGAAATATTTTGCAGTTCGCGAAAAAATTAAAAAATGGAAAAATACAGAATGAGAAGAATTTTGAATGTCCACTAACCTGAGCTGTTTGAATATCCCTGTGCACAAACCACCACGGACCTGATTTTGACAGATATCTGAAAGGAGAACAGAAGAAAAACAAAGACACGAAGAATCACCAACAAAGATAGTGATGATGCTGATAAACGTAAAACTCAAATCTGAACAATCATTTTGCCTTTTCTACTAAAATAAGCAAATGCCGTATTCATATTTTAGCAATAGAAGCCTTAGATTTATTATCATCGGAAGTTATAAACCAGCGACTTAAAGTTGGATTGGTTATCGAAAAGAGTACATATTCACAAATAATGATGATAATCAAAATTTGACATGGTAAATTATTACCTGGCATAGCCTGCGACTGCTCGCAAGCCCATGAAGAGAGTCAAACCCAGCCAAACTCCATGAAGGCCAAAGATGGAAGGAGCATATAGCAAAAATGTGGAAGATATTGCCCCCACAACCATCTATTAATAAATAGAAACTTTGTGAACAACAAAAACAGAAATATGTACTCTTACATAGTCAAGGTAATAATGAAGTCATGACTGAATAACTTTGGTTCTTCTAAGGGAGAAGCTTACCATGGAGCGAGCTGCATATGCAAAATCTGAAACACCATAATGGAGGCCATCGAAAACATAAGCTAGAGCATTTAAAGGCTGACTAGCACTGACAAACTGTGGAAAATTAAACATCATTACCTATGTTAAAGACATCTGCATTTGCATAAATCTAGACTAATATACCAACAAGCATAAATTTGAATACGTACCAATATACCAGATCTAACAATTGCTAATACTTCAGGATCGTTGGTGAACAACGTAGCTAAAGAACCAAAAGATACTCCCAAAATTACAGACAAGGAAATACCTGTGAACAATCCTATCTGAAAAAACATTCACGTAAATTTATCGTATTTGAAATCAAGAAACTACATATGCAACATAACAAAACTACAACACAAATAAGTCAAAAAAAATATACCTTTAACACGGAGTCAGCAACTTCTTTCACAATTTTGTATTCACCTTTTGATAAGTAACTTGCGATCAGGGCCTGCAAAATGAGACATTTTAGCTATGCCATATACAAAGACACACAATTCTTACAAACCCCAATTCGAGATGACAAATATCAGTGAATTTTGGTGAAACTAATACTTAGTCTTCACATACTGATTGAGTTACCAATATGGAAACCAATAGTACAGACTACGATGATCAAAACAGCAGAGTCAGTACCTGACCAGATGCAGCCATTGCATCAGTTAGAAGGGATACAGCCAACCATACTTGAATACATATCTGATGAGCAGCCATAGCTACTGGACCTTGACGAGCTGCCATTGATGTTCCCAATGTCAAGGTTGTAAGACAAGCAACAGTTCTTCCAAGAAGAAAGCCACCTACATCATATTAGGTAACAAATTTTGAATGGGTAGATGAGAGAATTATATCTGGGGTAATGAAAAAAGTTTAACAACCAACACAAAGACAAAAGAAAAGTTAATATACACTGCCCTGATACATGTGCACTGAATCGGAAGTAAAGTGAACTACTATGATAGTCAAGAAAATCAATGAATAAGAAGGCTGGAAAAAAGCTGTATATTTTCAGATAGATGAGAGCGTAAAACGTTAAATAAAAGGAAATAAAACTTACCGGATTTAATGTATCCACCAAATTGCAGTGATCCAACCTTCGGAGGCAATAGTACAGCTCTCTTATTTAGAAACCAGATCATTAAAAAGGTGACAGTGTATCTGAAAATCAGAAATTCCATAATATTCATTTTCTAATTACAGAGAAAACAAAAGTTAATATTTACAGAAAATGTATTCAAAATCACATACTGAGATATAACAGTGGAAATAGCTGCACCAGTTGCACCCAAACGAAAATAATATATAAGGAGCGGTAACAAAAACACGGCTAACAAATTACCAATACCTGCACAAATAACAATACATTAATTAACTGGAAGGACTACTCAAGCTTGATTAAAAACAAATGGAAATCAACAAGTTGGAGACAAGACCGTAGATACACTGTGCAAGAATAACAGACCAATCTTGTTTGTGGGTTATATGTATAGTACGGGTGGGGCGTGTGTGTGTGTCTACACCTTATAGAAAACTAGACTTTCCATCAGATTATTTCATATTCAATCAAAAGATGCTAAAGGCCATTTGGACACATATCACAAATATATAGCATTGTAGTGGATAAAAAAATGTTACACCACTTCCCCAGTGCTCTCCCCTCAGCAAGATGCTGATGACAAAAGATTAACCAGGCATTTCAGCAGTCACACATGATAAATTCATACTGCTATCTATAAAGGGATGTTTTCACTTGAACATTTAAAGTATATATAGCCAAAAACTTGCCTAGACATAGTACTGGAGTTTTTGTATCCTTAAATCCACGGAAAACTCCTTGAAGAGCCAAAGACGCTACAACTGCGGGAGCACCAAGTGCTCTTAGTTGAAGAAATAGTTGTGCTTGAATGCGCATAGGTGAGTCCTGTGACATTCGGGGAAAAAAGAATCTTCCTTAAATAAACAGTCAAAGATGAGAGGGGAAATCAGAAAATGTATGAGCTCCCCCCACAACCAAATAAAACACCAAATTAAGTAAAGTGCAGCACAAGACCTAGAAACTTGTACAGTAATTGTTCACATACATATAATTACATTTATGTATACAAAAAATAGAAAGTTTGTATAATTATGTAAAAAGATATAAGAAAAAGCAGACAAACAAATCAGTATGGAGATGTAATTAGATCAGGTAACCTACTGATGATATGCCCATCGTATTTAGAAACAACCCAGATCCCATAGACAGGGCCACGGCCTCAAAAATTCCAATCCCAACTGCTAACAATAAAGCTGTAGACACTGAAGATAGCTGCTTTCTCTCAACGACTCCATTAACAGGTTTGGGTTTACCGTCTAGATAACCATTTTCTGTACGAGAATTAGCCGAAATCAGATAGCGAAAAAAATAATGTTAAGTAATCTCTGCTCTAATTTAGACATAAAGACCGACCAAATATGTGTAAAACAAAGATGACCTGGGAAGTAAAACAAAAATTTAACTTCACCTGAAATAGAACCTTTACTTTCACTCTTAGCAAGGTCTTCAGCAACAAATGATGTAGCAACACTGAGGAGGGGGATGTTAAATATCTTTGAGATATAATTAAAGATGTTCATTGAAATACCAGCTGAAGCCAATTCCACAGAACCTACGGAAAAACAAAAGAAAATTAAGTAACAGCTCCAAATTTAAATCAATTGTACAGTGCTTAGTCATTGAGGACGTTTAAAGGAGTGAAACAAACCCAAATTGCCAATGTACGCAGTCTCCATTAGTTGTGCTAATGGATCAATGGCCTGACCCAGAATTGCAGGTAAAGAAAGCATCAATAGCTCGCGTTTGATATCTGGAGAATATGTTTCACTGCTAGGAATGTTATTCAACTCGTTAACCCAAAACAAACATAAAACAATGTTTAAGATAACTCCCCAACATCTAAAAACTAAGAATAATAATAACATTTTTAGAGAATCGCTGAAATGGACAATTCCCAAAAGCTATTGATAGTATTACTTTTCATATAAGCTTCATACATCAAGATCAAGTGAATACAAGCAAAATTAGCTTGCTTGCACTTATAAATCAATAACCACATACGAAGGGAGGGACTAGAGGATGAAGGGATTGGGAGGCTTCCAACAAAAGTAGAAAAATTTATCTAAAGCTATCATCCTCAGTTACCACCCACTCTATCAAATTTGAAAACAAACGTATGAATCTCTTTGCAAGTAAAAGGCGCAGTTCAACTTAGACAGATCAGTACCAAGTATTTTACAGAAAAAGCAACATGCAACTCCATTAACGCGCCTATTTCATGTTCAATTTAAAAAAAAAAATGATATAAAAATAATAAAACAGAGCATCAATCATGAAAAAAACAAGTACAAGAACAATAAAAGCAACATTTCAAGAAGCTAAAGCAACAAAAAATTTACACATAACAAGATCCTGTAGGCTATAAGGTCTTACAGGTCACCAGTCCCCCCACTTATGGGAGCTTCCTCTTCTTGTAAAGCCAACTTCCCTTCAACCTCAAAGGATCCCACACCCAAATCCGAACTCAACTGATTCGCCACCCCCGGAAAACAGGGTCTTCTGCGGCGTGTCACTAGCGGCAAGCACAGTGGTCTGCGTGTGGCAGACAGATTACATCCCCCCATAGCATTGGCATTGCTCAAATCCTTCCTAACACTTCTTGCTACAATATTACTATCTTCCCTTGTGTGCAATGGATTAAAAAACCTGGACTTTCGAGTTATCGGGTTACCGTCTCTGGATCCAGCGGTTAATCCGTTAGAAAGGGCGCCACTTCTGAATTGGGTAGCCGCCATTTTCACCAGTTCGTGTAATTCCTTCAAAATCAAACGGAAAATCCAAAATTTTCGTCAGAATTTCCGAGCACTAGGGTCTTAACAACAATAAATAAACTTCAATTATGCAAAAAGGAACGAAATTTACACAACCAACAATCATTTCCCACTTTCCCGAAACAAAAATTCAAATTTGTGAAAGCCAAACTCCGCTTCGAGAAAAGAAATTACATCACATTTGAATACAGAAAATAAAACTGCATAACAATTGTATAAAAACGTGCACCCCACGCAACTAAACGGAATAAGGCGGCGGCAATTGGGAAGTGAAAAGGGAGTTGGGAGAACAATCTGTTTGGTTCCCGGGAAATTCTACAAAACAGGGGAAAAGAAAAACAGAAAGTAGAGAAGAAACAAGAAGGAGGAGTCACCTTTGTGCAGGGGGGAGAGAAAGAGAGAGAGAGAGAGAGAGAGAGAGAGAGGGATTGAGATTATTGGGGGTCTAGAAGTGAGGAAGAAGAAGAGGAGGAAAGAGAGAGGGGGTTGGAATGTCGGTTCAGAATTAAGTGAGAGAGAGAGGTGGGGCGGGCGGGTCCAAGAGTGGTCAGTGGCTGGGTGTACATTTACACGGCTGATTCCGTACGCCACTGCAAATGATAGAGGGGAAGGGAGGGTGGTCACGAGGCCTTGGCTTTCACTTTTGCAATCATCGCTCTCAGGATGCTAAACCACGTGCCGCGCTATGAAATGACACCTTTTTTGTGCCACGTTATGCAATCATGGGTGTTACTAACTATCACGCATTTCTTGTTAATTTTTATTCTACTCTTCGTTTGTTTCATTTGAAATTAATGAAGAATTATGTGAAAGAAAAAATGATTTACGGAGTGTATTATTCTTTCTCTAATGATAAACGGGTGCAGAAAATCATGTTCTTTTGTCCCGCCATGTAACTACCACTTCATATGTATAACATAACTGATGAAAAGTTTAAAAGTGGAGTTTGTCTGTTACTAATACTTTTAGTGTTTTCTTCTTAACGCAAATGATTATTGTTTAGTGTAAAAATACAGTTAGAAGAAACAAAACAAAAAAAATAGAATTATATGGCTAAATCGAGAAAACGGTACTAAACGTTTACTTATAAGGAACGGAAACGAGAAGAAAATGAATGATTTAAAATTCATGACTTCTTCTGAGTAGACATTTACCCATTGAGAAAAACATGTCACGATTCCACCGTTGAATATAGCAATTAGTAATCATGTTAAGTAAAAAAGGTTGGTTTATGTTTTGATTTATTAGAATTAGTGAACAATAATGGCGAGATTCAACTCCATTAATATTTAGTTGTTATATGATCAGTAAACAGATTAATGAGAATGTTTATTTCGCCTATACCAATTCCTTACTTTTTCGTATTCTTGAGTTATTAGATTCATTATTTTTTTCATTTTTATAAGTAAACATGTTTTTTTATTAAAAAAAAAAATATATATATATATATATATATATTATATTCTTTAAATTTATGAACAACTCATCGCCTATCAATTGTTCATGGCCACATCAATAAACCACTTCACGTGTAAATAATTGAAAAATACTAATTAGTTGCCCACTCAATCAAAGACATGCTTAATAAATGAGTGGGTTCAGTACAGTTATCGTATTAAAATTTTTGTTTCAATTATCATACCAAACTTTTGATATGACAGAATCTAGTACTATTACCATTCCAAATTTTCGATATACCAAATTTATATATGCCATAAAATTCAGTTGGCATGACATGGAATGATATTGTACCAATTGAGATTTTTTTTTTTTTTTTGTATGCAAGTAGCCCACATATTAAGATGAAACTTAATACCATATATCTTTGTTGTAGAGGAATTTGAGAGAGAATGAGAGAATTCTATTGGAGAATTTCTAAGTGTGTGTTACAATGTGAGGCATAATCACCTTTAAATAATGGTGTGGCTATCCTGACAAATTACACAAATCATCCATAATTCAATAAGGATAATCAATTGCCTAATCAATCAAAGAATGAATGACCTATTCATTTGAGGAATCAATAACCTAACGGTTACAACAATTACACCAATTAATGGACAGACATAAATATAAATTCGGCAACAATCTTTAATTTTCCAAATAATCTAATATACCTATATCCTACAACCAAGATTCATCATTCATCATTATTTAGACATATTTAGTAAGTCAAAACATGCATTAAGGATAACATACAAAAGTTAGGATTACAAACCGAATCAAATTGAACTTAAATACTTCAAGTTGCAAACTAAATCAAATATATAAAGATCAAAGTTAGTAATTAGTATTATTAATTTGGGGCGGATCCATGTCATCATTTTTTTTCACAATTTTTTTTTGTAACTTTGGATCGTTAAAAAACATTACAGAGTAAACCCTACAAAAACGTGTGTCAAAAATTATGTAAAAAGTTGTGTCACAGATCCATCTTCAACTATTTATATATAAGTATTTAATACTTATATATATTTGCTATGGTACGGTAATACTGCTGCCATAGATTTTGAATACCAATACTACACTAAATATCATAGGTTCGGTACAATTACCATATCATTACTGTTTGACACACAAAAAATGTCACAAAATCGATATAGTACATTGTAGTAAGGGGCTCTAATTTTGAACTGATGGATTATGCGGATTATGCTTCAGTTTTTCTTGTAACTTTTCTTTTCTCAGAGTGATGACCTGATGCAAGAGACTCTAACTTTCGCCATGCTGATGTCCATGACGGAGGCAACAAGAGATGGTTGGTCGTCGAATTGGGGTTGTGTACGGCGTTCTTCTGTTTTCGGCGGTGGGGTGACTTCAGGAGAACGAAGGATAAAGTGGGAATTTTCAAGAAATTGTGGGGTGTCAATTAAACAATTAAAAAAGAAAAGGGGATTCCTATTCCAAGCGGGATACGAAAGTAAAACTTGAAAAACTTTTCCCAAATTTAAATGGATAGCAAAATCAATAGTGTTTAATACAAGTCAGAGAGTCGCAAAATTCCCTCCGATAATTTTTCATCTTCTTCTTCTCCAATTTGATCGCCGTCGCGAACCCCAGAATTCTCACGATGACGGTTGACGTTTCCTCCGCGGGATCCTTCAGACGAAGGCGGCTCATCGGCGCCGTCGATCGTATCGCCAGCAGTCGATTGCACGGCCAATATCGAGGAGAGCGCAGACGAATTCTACGACTTCACCCCAGAGGACTACTACCGCATTCAACGCACGCGGCAGAAACAAGACAAGTTCCTCAAAACGCAGAAGATTAGAGAGGCAGAGGACGCAAAACGCAGGTCGAAGATCACAAAGGCCGTGATTAGGGTTCGGTTTCCGGATAATCGCACTGTGGACGCAACTTTTCACCCGTCGGATAAAATTCAGAGCTTGGTCGATTACCTGAGGAAAGTTGGTGCTCGACCGGAGTTACCGTTTTACCTATTTACCGCTCCGCCGAAGCAGGTGTTGAGAGACATGTCGCAGGATTTTTACTCTGCTGGATTTGTTCCCGGTGCAATTGTGCATCTTTCGTACGGTGCACCGAACTAATGTGAAACCAACTGTACAATGCCCCACTTGTGGTCACCATTGTCCTTGTCGGGAATTTTATTTTCTAGCTAATAATATTTAATGGAAATAAATTTTCTTGATTTATGAACTAATTTAATCTCGGTAGTTTTTTTTTCTTTTTTTTTTTTGGTAGTTTGATTTTTGAAGTGTCTTTTAACGGAATATGACTTATACGAAACATGTTCACCGTTATAGTGATATTTCTCTCTAATAAAACAATGATATAAGTAAGTTTTTCAACACATGATATTATATTATTGAAAAAGATGTCACGTGACGGGGAACTCATTTTATATAAGTTACTCGTTTCTCAATGAGATTAATATTTAGCTATTTAGCTGCACTAATTAAGCAGTATTTGAAATGTAAACATATTGTTGAATTATTCTCCAAAATTCAACAAACCTAATAAGATAAGATAGAACAATCCCAACGAGAATTGAATGAGTTGGTAAGGATCGTTCTTTTCGCTAGACCAAGACATAGGTACAAACGTGTGGTATGCCATGGCCCTATGATGGGTTAACCTCCGCTCTCCCTAACCTTTTAATAAAAAAATAAAATAAAAAAGATAGAAAAACAACCAACTTCCAAACTAGCAATTTCTGAGTATAATTGTATGATCCCAAGTGACCAAAACAGAAGAGAAATAAGTTAAGTTGAACGTCTTTGATTCCTAACTACAGTAAAACGTAGAAATGCACTTTACAAAAGGCATGATCACGGCTTGGCCAAAAAATTTGATAGTTACTCGCATTAGGAGATGTACAGAAGAATTACATTATAATTTGGTTCCCTCATCCTCTTAGAACAAGCAAAAAGTGGGCGACATTGTAGAGACTTAACAACATATCATTACTCGAGCCTTGCAAACTCATCTTTGAAGCGTTGTTTTTATTATCGAGAGCTGTTTGCCAACAAAGTAAACGATGTTAGTTTGAGTGGATGATAACCAGTGTTTAAATATTTTTCGATAATGTCGATATTTTTATAGAAATATCCAAAAAATCAAAGAAATATATAGAAATAGGGGTGAAGTCTAAATTTTAGGTTAAAATCAACATATATTGTCGATATTTATGACACATCTGTTAAATATCAGAGAAACTTTTGTACTTCATCCAAACCAATATTTGACAATCCCTAAAGTTCCATTTTAAATTCTCACCATTTCCTTCGAAAGCAATCGATATTGATATTTGATATATCCGTTGATATTTTCACAAATTTACATATCGATATTTTCACCGATACTAATATTTTAAACATCGATAATAACCACTGTTTAGTTGGATGTCCAACTAAATCATCATAGGCAATTTCAAACCGCTAAACACGTAATTGCTGACAAAATTACACAACGCAGATGTCGATGCTGTGTATGACTAGTGTCTTTTCTCCTAGTCATCTGGTATTTGTCAATTCATATCAAGATCGACTCTGGTCCCAACTCTCAATTCATATCAACATCGAATCTGGTCCCAACTCCGAGAGAAAGAAATTAAAGGTTTCTTTACTACTAATAGCTTGTTTAGTTGTGTAGAATTATAGAGACAACCAAAACTCACTTCCAATCTCACATATATTGTTCTTAATTTAGTAAGGTGTAGGGTTTTAGCACAATAAATTTCGGTATTAGTTGGAGTGGGGTTAAGATATTTAAACTTTTCTTTCTTAGTGATCAATATTGGATATTTCAATATACCCCCTCACGTGGGACCCAATTAGTGGGTCACACGTGGTAGATCCACACATCGACAACCACGTAGAGTCAAGGGGACTCACCATAGATGCGAGGCCAGGGGACCCACTATCATCGCGTAAAGCCAAGGAGACCCACCCATCATGTGACATTACCGGCCTGCTCTCTGGTTTTGATACCATGAAGAAAAGAAGCATGTTAAGAATAAGTCCCACATTGCATGAGCTTATAAGAGGTTGAGTTATTCCCCATATTGCCAATTGGTTTTATGATGAAATCTCAACTTTCTTCATGGTATCAAAACAGGTTGTCCCACACACTCGCTCTATGTGTACAAGTGTAAAGCGAGCTTACCCGTACAAGTGGACTGCGTGACCAAGGTTGTAAGAATCTTGGTCTGGTTAGTATAACCAGCATAGGCACAGTTGTTTGATTGCAACCGGAAGATGTGCTGTTGCCAAGGAATAGCTGACTGGTCAGACTCGAAGCCTCGCATTGCATCGCAGGGCATGCCGTTGAGTTAATGGTGGATGGCTCGCATTGTAAGCAGTGCAGATATGAAAATTTACATAGACTGAGAGTCCACCAATGGGAAAGGAAATAGACTGAGAGTCCACCAATGGGAAAGGAAAACTAATACAACAAACTAGCGAGAAATGCACCTTACGTCCAATTGTTTGCAGAACTGCTTTGGCACTTCACGCAATTGGTGGCAGTAAAGACATGGGTGTTATTAGAAGCCAGTAGGGGGGCGTCGAGTGATTCATTTGATAAGGAAGACCAAATTCTCCATCAAATACGAAACCGCGTTTTATTCACGGCGGACCAATGAACAAGAAAGAAAACTTTCATTTTGACTTGTTTTCCGTTGTTTGCTTTGTAGGTTTTCCACCAGAAATAATTTGCACACACCTTTTTTTTCTCTTCCAAACGCTTTTGATTAGAGGTGTGCATGAAGAGAAAAGGTGATCGGAAAATGGAAATCATTTCACTTTCAATAACAAGAACACAAGGTACATGAAGGTTTATGACTCGTGAGAGCTCTAAAATCTTTCTAATGCCCTTTTTAGAATGCTTTCTTTGTCACGTGTGAATTGGACGTCATCAAATGCAAGTCATGGGTCTCCAATTCCATGACAAATGAGGATATTTGTTTTGTTTTATAAGAATATTCCGTCTTCTTTGGATCATCTACTTTATTTCGTTTCCTCATTTCATTTTTGGAACCTTTGAGGCTTTCATCCCTTAAAAACGAAAAGGTTTCAGTCAAGAAACATTGATGGCTACAGCCGAATTTTAATTTCTCCTTTTTTGATAACAGGAAAACGTGGACAATAACGATAACTTATCCATGCTTCCTGGCATGTTGGACCATCTCGGTCTTGGTTCATGAGTTAGTTTTCATTTCGACCTCAACTTGAAACCGGGAACAAGCCCTCAACGGAGGGCCAGAAATAGTTTTCAGTAATGCAACGAGTTCTACAACCCGCACCATAAACCCTTTGCCTTGGATTCAACAGCCGAAGTGGAGATCCAATTTTGCAACACAGCACTTGGGAATAAATAGATGAAAATGTACATTCATGTTAAGATCAAAGATCAAGGCATCTTTTCATCATTCACATACAGGTACATTCATGTTAAGATGTGTATTCAATTACTGACAAACGAAAAGTAAGGAGCGACGTTTTCAACTAATGACAAATTTCTACAAACTTCGAGCAAACACCAGGGAAATCAAGCTTGATACATCATTTGTATTGAAGAAAACAACTTGGCATTGAGATAGTAATTCATTTACTTGTTTTATAAAGAAGGCAGCTTCCTCTCGGGCATCATAACCAGTTCCGCTTATGAAGAGGAAATTGGGTGCATTGCGTGTTTAAAATAAATCGACTAAGAAAAACTTATTTCACTTTTCCTCTAGGCGTCGGAGCATAGACTCAGCAAAGCATTGTTGCCTGCAAACAGATAACGACCAATAAGCCACAAGATTGTGAACTGCATGCGTATAATCTTCTTTTTCTTGTCACATTTGTACGATCTTGCCTTATGTATACAAAAACAGTAAAACAATTTAGAAGAATCAATGACGACGAAGAAATAAAAAAAGAGGAAATTTAAGTTTGATTTACTTTCGCTCTCTGTGCTTTGGGCTGGGCCGAGAGTATTTCAGATACCCATCCCACGGAACCATCTTCAGTCCTGCTCGAACAGAAATTATTTCCCTGACCCTGCATAAAAAGCATCCAAAAATAGTGGAGATAAACAAGACCATAACAAGGGCGGGGAAGCATATTGTTCCAGATTACAAGTCCAAGAAAGACCATTTACCTCTCGGCAAATTCAATGGGGGTCTCCCCAGGCCTAATGTTTTGGGGCTCCAAATACCACACATCACAAACAACAGCCCATGACGTCATAAGTTGTAGCAGATGCATTGTGAAGGACTGCCTGCAACACAAACATATCATATAAATCCTTCTGGTATCACAACATCCCCAAGGCCCCAACACCCTGGTTAATGTTCCCTAAATTACGGATCTAAGCTTAACCAACGGCCAAGTCCCATCGAATGGAATCTAGAGTATGATGACTATGCTTAAGCATCATAGAACTTTTTGGGGTGTGCTATTCACACGCTCTTTTTTACTTCTCACACACCCTTTGTTAATTTCTGTCCGTTGATCTTCTTTAATTCATCTGATCCGACGGCCAAAAATTAGAAGGGTGTGTGAGAAGTAAAAAAGGGTGTGTGGATCACACCCCAACATTTTAAGCATTCAAATAGCATGCAAGGTGAAGTAGACAAACTTTCAAGCAAACCCACAAGTCAAATAAGGAACTCAATATTTATAATGTCCAACGATAGAATCCGCTCCTTACTTTTTGCTATTCCAAAAAGCATCAACGAAAATTTTGTTGTACTTGATTGCAACAGGGCAAACTGAGCAGCCAAGCTCAAATGCACCCTAAGCAGTATAGAAATTGAAAGTTAGTAAATAAAAAATACCAAGCAATAAATATAAACTAGTAGTGAATATTAAACTTAAAATGAGCAAAATTTAAACTAGAATACAGTTACCTTCTTAAACATAACAGTGTAGTGATTGTTTACACATGTTCCTTCAGGAAATATAAGGAGAGGGTTATTGTCTGCCCCAAGCACATGTTCCCTTAATCTGAAAAAAGGAACTGTACTAGTTCATATAACAATGACATGGACGATGGTGTAAAAAAATGCTACTATGCACCTTCTGTTTATACTTACTTCTTT